AGGTAACCGAGAATGTCTAATTCAGTCTTGAAGCATTGAGCGATCTCTGCAACGCTCGGGTCTAAGGGCGGTCGTTCCGTCGAAACTGCGAGGTCGCGCGCGGCGTTGAGCCGGAACCGGAGTGTATTTCTGTGTATCTCATTAATTTTATTCCATATAATACGGCATCCGCGCACAGAGTGCTCACCCTTGACACGACGGCGCCGCTGATTAATGAAGTCGGCTCGCCATTTCAAAAGTGTATCCCACCCGCGGAATTCGGTTTGACGCGCAGCTTTTCTTAGGGAATCTTTGATTTATCGTTCCAATAACACGCGAATAATCGAAACGGGCGCGAGGCGTCGCGAACTTTGTGGCGACATTAGGAATAATTAATTGTCGGCATGTGAAGCCTTCAACGCGACGGCGCGCGCCGGGTCGAAACACGAAAGCGGGTGAGTCGGTGGGAAGCTTTTCAATGCTACTAAGGAATAATTCATCTCGGGAGATTTGATATTCAGTTGAATTGACGTCCCGTCGCTGCTACACCGCAAAATTGTCAAACTTTAGCGAAAATTCTACTTTAAAACTCTCATATCTTCTTATCACTCTTTCTTTTTCATCCAAAGAAACAGCTCCTTGATAATTAATAATGTATAATATTTATTAGTAAGATCTACACTGATAGAAGAAATATAAAAAAAAAAATAAAATATTTACTCGGTGGATATTGGTAACATATCTACTTACCCTAATATATATTCCTAGTAAGAAAACATATATTTTTTTAAAATCCTAGCTTTTCACACAATTATTTATTTTATTTAAAAAAAGAATTTAGTTTTAAATAAATATATTACTAGTACCCACCGAATAAATATTTTCTTTCAAATACTTTCTTTCTCATGTATGAAAGAATATTCCCGTGGCAGATTTTTAGTACAAATCGGAGGGCACGATTCTATATTGTCAAAATCGGATCGATCGAAGCGAGTCGGAATTTCGCGTTTCCTAAGCAGTCCTAAGCAATTTCGACGGTACTTAAATCGTAGAGAATGATTTCGCAGCAAAATTCCAAAGTGATTACGCAGCCAGACATCGTCGGCACGCACAATTTACGCGGGTGCACACGCGTGCGTTCGTGTCGGCGACGTGTCGAGACATATTTGTCCACGCGGCGGTCTTACCCTTTATTCTCTACCCTCATCCTTCGCCGTTGTGAGAGTGTGACCCTACCGCTGGGTGACCCATCCCTCCTAACTCTCCTCTCCTACGACAGAGACTCTCCTACGACAGAGAGAGCGGGTCGCGAGTCACGGCCCTCTACGGAATAACGAGTCTCATTAATCCAATTAACCAGTAAATAATGGGATAGCATTTTCGTATTTACGAGAGAATACTTGGCCGGCCCTAATGGAGTTTTGAGCTGACTATCAATATATTCCTGCCGGCGCGGCGCGAGGGAACAAAGTACGGGTCACTCTCTCACTTAGTTAAACGGGCTTCGGAGCCGGCGAGGTTAGCGTCCCTGCTGGCTGGAGGACATCGATCTCGTTTCCTTCTTAGCTGAGGGAATCTGATTTTCAGAAGCACGCCTGACTATATTCCCTCGTCGCCGCGTAGCGTAGAGGAAATTTGGGGAACGAAGTAAATGACAGTGAGTCAAGCGATGGAGCATGGAATCGATACATCGGCTCTCGATCTTCTGTAATTAGATTAAGCTAAGTGTTTGTTGGCGAACGTTTCTCGTGTAGTTTAATTATATAGCGAAAAAAAGACAGCGCGTGAACCTCTTTAAACGAACCACGTTCGGAAGCGAGAGTTGATGTTCGAAACGTTTGTATTTAACACATTCCCTTTTTACACACATCCTCCTTACCCTTAGTTTCGTTCCACCGATATGAAAGAGAAATTCGCCCCTGAGAGAAAATTCGCGCACCTGAGAGGAACAGCGCGCGCTCTCACGCGGAGTGTAGATTTTTTCCCTTTTTCCGCTCGGGATTTCCCTCCCCCCTCCCTCTTTTTTCTTTTTTTTTTAACTTTACCGTACGCAGTCGATTTAGCCCTGAAGTTTGCTGATAAAGTCGAACAGCGCTTCGAACGCTGGAGTACGCGATGCCGGCTTAATGAAAATTGTTTACACCCTTAATGGTAATCTTTGAGCAGAATTGCTCCCGTTCGCTTTCCTCGCCGCTTTCCGCCCGCGGAAATTCTGGTACGTAGCTGATAGCGAAGTGGTGGTGGAGGGGTGCGTTTGCGGAGCGCGCACATTCGGCGCACGTTTCTCCTTTAGATCTGGGGAGCGTTAAGGATATCTATTTGTGTCGCCCGCTAGGTGGAAGCAATAGAAATTACAGCGGACCACGTTCTGGGTTGGCTCATGATTTGCATATTCGTTTGAAACAATATCCTCGGGTGAGCGCGGCGGTAGGTCGTTTTAACGCGGCAGGGGCGCCGGCACAGTGGAGGGAGAATTTGTCGCCTTCTATGGTGACAGAGGGGCACGAGGGGATTGAGGTGGAGAAACGGAATAGAGGAAGAGACACCGCTGGGGAGAGAGGGCAAGGGGGGTAAGGTGTGCGGCGGCGGTGTTCGACTGTTTCAATTAAAATAAGCATACGCCGCCAGCGAGCCAATACCCGACCACCGTCTCCTTCTCTCTCTCTCTCTCTCTCTCTCTCTCTCTCTCTTTCTCTCCCCCCTCTCTTTATCTCTTTTTCTCTCCTCTCAACCACCCGCCGACACCCACCTTCTCCCTCTCGAAAAGATCGAAAAAAGTTATCCCTCGTCCGGGTGTATTACTCAGCGTCGTCGAGATCTGAATGCGAAAGCAGTCGTCGAAGCTTGATGGCATTAATGTATATTTCTTCGCGATCGATAGCATGATTTGTTGAAAGGTATGATAAATTATCGTCTCTTCTTGCGGGATATTACATAGAGAGTGCATATATTGGTTTTTCTGCAGCGTTGAAATTTGCATTTCTGAAGTTCTCGCTGACGTACGGAGACATATACCTTTATTTCGTACTGATGCTTTTGAAAATTAATACAGATTTTGCACTGACAGAAAAATACTTGAGAATTTATTTCTGGAAGATAAAGTTTGTTCACAGAAATAAACTTTATATTCCGCACGAGTAAATTTTCAAATATTTTTTAAACTAATAATGTAACTAATTAAATTTTACACTTTATATATCTATTACTTTATATATCTCTCTTTCTTCCAAATGTCTCATGATTATATCTTTCAAATAAATTCTACCATAACCGTGAACACATCTAAAATTTTATTAAAAAAAAAAAACAGTTTATGTATATAGATTCTAATAAGAAAAGTCTCGGCTGTCTTTCAATTTGAAATTTATTTAGAATGCTTATTCGTCGAAGTGAAAAGAGGAACGAGAGAACGAGGATGAGATAGTGAGATAACGGTAGCTCAGCTAATATTTTCAGACGCCTGTTTCTCCACCTCCGTCTATTCTCGATACTTACTTCTGCGCATCCTTTCCCGGGAACGTGTACATATAAGATACTTTAAATGGGAAATCGAAACGCTTCGCAGATAACTCTCCTCGGGTGAGAATGTATTCAAAATGGCTGCCGCCGTGGGTGGGAGCGTTATGGATAGGAAGGAGACGGCGGTAAATCCCCTATGATGATACGAAACATATTCTACCTTTAAGAACCCGAAGGCCGCTCCCCCTCGTCGGCTATAAAATAAAGTTCAGCGTTTTCATTCCTCCCCGGTCGCTTGAAACTTAATCGAAGCTGGCGAATGGAAATACTTCTTTTTTTCCTGCTTCATACTGCAAAGTAGAAAACTAAATTGATCCATATTTATTTGCTTTTAAATATTTAATAATTTAAATAACGTTACATATAATATTCTCATATAATATTACATATAATATTACATATAATATTCTCGTATATATAATATTCTTGAGAGATATTCGTGTGAATATATAAAAAAAGAAAATTGCACGAGACGGACACAGGCGCTTAGGACTGCTTAGGAAGCACGAAATTTCGATGCGCTTCGATCGATCCGATTTTGACAATGTAGAATCTAATAGCGAATTCGATTGTTTGCAGTACGCACTCAGTGTGCACTTGTTTATAGTATGTTATTATATTTAGATATTTAGATATTTAGGTTGTCTTAAATAAATTCTCAAATATTTTTAACCAGCAATATGATATGTACAACATCCGTACGAATCATTTTATTAGCTAAAATGTTTTTAAATATGTATTTAAGACACAGTCTTAAATATAAGAATATACTGTAAATATTGCACTCTGTGCGCACTAGTGTAAGCTATCAAATTCGCTATAATTTGAATGTGTCCTTTAATTTGTACCAAAAATCTGTCACGGAAATATGCTTTCATACACTGAGAGAGAAAGTATTTGAAAGAAAATATTTATTCGGTGGGTACTAGTAATATATTTACTTAAAACTAAATTCTTTTTTCTAAATAAAATAAATAATTGTGTGAAAAACTAGGATTTAAAAAAAATATATTTTCTTATTAAGAATTTTATTAAGAATATTAGTGTAAATAGATGTTACTAGTATCCACCGAGTAAATATTTTATTCTTTTTATATTTCTTCTTTCAGTATAGATCTTACTAATAAAAATTACACATTATTAATTATCAAGGAGTTATTTCTTTGGATGAAAAAGAAAGAGTGATAAGAAGATATGAGAGTTTCAAAATAGAATTTTCGCTAAAGTTTAACAATTTTGCGATGTAACAGACAATGACGTGGATACAGGCGCTATCTAGAAATCGAATTAAGTAGTCGATTGATCAGATAATCGATCAATCAATCGATACTTGATTTACCGATTGAGTTGAAACCATTTGCTTCGCCATCTAGCGTCCGCGGGAAACCGTACGACTTTAGAAAGGACAGCATACGTGAGTAAGCCATCATGACAGTTGTGTATGTTAAACAACAAGATGAACAGCATAATAATACATTCAATCGAATTCTGCATATCGATATTCGCGCGACTTGGGACGATACACGCGCGTCGTACTGCCCGCTGCTACTACCATAACCTTACTTGACGCAGCAGTGACTAGACGCCGGCCGGCGTCGCGCTCTGTTTTTATAAAGTGATTAGCGCATTTAGAGAGTAATTTCGACACTCCGTCACAATGGCTATCGCGTCTACATAATCGTGAACATCGGCAGCACCGTGAGGTATAATAACTGATCACCATACATCGCTTTTATAGGCTCGGCTTCGCATCGTTGACGTCTAACCTAATTCTAACCTTTTAATGAATATACCTTCTTATTCTCGATTCGTCGAAACCGAGCGTAACTTTATATATGACTGAAAGTCATATTATCGGGCACCGGTATTATACACTCGAACAACCAGAGTCTTCCAGAAGTGAATTCAGAGATTCGTTGTATTTCAACACTTAATTTTACGTGGTTTTAATAATCCTCGATTTCAAAGTCTCGATAATTCGTAGCTTTACAATGTATTCTACAATATATGGAAGACGCTATGGCGAAGCGCCATAATATTTAGTCGAATGACTAAATATTATAACGTATGTGTGCGGAGTGAAATATTAATGTTATAGCATATAATACGCGCGACAACTAAATAATTGACAAAGCGGTGGTATGTGAGGCGCGAGGCGCGGTACGCCGACAGTCGCGCGACCTTCAAAGCAGCACGCTAGTACGCGCACGTACGCTCACGTACAGTCACTGTCACAAGTTTTTCATCGCGCGGGGCGTCGCGCGCTTTCTTATTTTGAGAAATTCATTTCAACGACAGCAGCGACAGCATTTCACGAGCGTGCTTATCGTGCTAGAGCAGTCATTAACAGCGGCAGGATCCTGATACATAACTGGTAACTTCCACATGTTATTTTTCTGATTTAAATAAGTTAAAACTACGACCGCAGCTTTTTTTTGTACTCGACATCTAACCTGCATACCAATTGAATCCTTATTCTCGATTCTTCGAGACCGATCTCCACGTTGTTGTAATTAATTAGGAAAACTATTTTCCATTCCAGATAAGGTAGATCTGATGACTACATCGTAAATATAGACATGGTGTCAATGAATCCGATTTGGGCAAATTTTCAATTTTACTCAAGGTAAATCTAAGTGAGTATACTTCTATATTTATACAAAATACAATAAAACTATATATGAACTTTTCTTTTTATAATTAATTAGAAAAACTCTTTTCTATTCCAAATCAAGTAGATCTGACGACATCGTATAGATACAGATACAGTATCCGATTTGGGCAGCTCCAATCTTACTGAAGGTAAATCCAAGAGTGACTATTCTTTTATATTTAATTGTACAAAATTTTAAGAATTTATGATATTAAAATTTTGATTATCTATTTTTATATAAAGTGCAATAATACTGTGAATGTATGTGTTCTTGAAATACGAACTGAATAATTTTCCTATATAATATTAGATAATACGATACTTCCTAATATAAGATAATAGATAATGCAACGGTAATCTGAATTCTGATTGGTCGCATAGAAAGTCGCGTATCGTTCGAAATAACACATACACATATACATGTACATATACATACGCGATACATTTGCCGCCATAATTGTTTTTCACTCGGCAGTAAACGCATCGCGGACTGTGTCGCGCGCTATTCCTGAATTTTGTAAATTAACTAGAGTGAGTATAAAAGTAATTATTTCATTTTGCGGATTCATTTCACATTTGTAACGATAGAATTATCGTGTACAGTAGAAGTAACCTGAAATTTAACCAGAGAATGTCGTATTTCGTTTTTCTTTGATCTAAATACACGAAAATATACGACCGAAGTTCGCACTCGCGATACTTAATCTAACCTAATCCAATCTTATCTTCCGTATCGAATATCTCTTTCTACTCGATTTTTCGAGCGGAGAATAATCCTGAAATTGCGACAATTAATTAGAGAAATTATTATTTTTTTCAGATCTTTTAGAGCTGAGAGCCAAATCGTACGGACGATTTCGACGAGTGCGCATGCAGTATCAAAGAATCTGATTCGAGCAATGAAAATCTCCCAACCAAAGTAAGTTTACATATTCTGACTGTATTGCTACGTTTATTTTCACAATGTTTTAGTCATTCGTGATCTTAATACTTTGGACAATAGGTCCGCAATAAACTTCTGTACGAAAGACGTTATGGAACAACGTGAACCAAATAACGGAATATCACAACATGTGAAACATTGATATTATTACTAAAATACTATGTATTCATAGAAGTATTATAGTAGGACACACACACAATCGATAACGTAATAAATAATATATAATGTGACAGTGTTATTAATATAATATTATTTGTTATATTAATGTTATATTAATGTTAATTGTGTTATATTAATAACATTGCTATATTAGATATTATTTATTGCGTTATTCATTGTGAATGTATTCTACATACTGTAATATTTCTGTGTACTATAATATCAATATTTCATATGTTATAATATTCCATTATTTGGTTTGCGTTGTTCAATAATGTCTTTCGTACAGAAGTTTATTGCGGAGTTATTGACCAAAGTTTTAAGATCACAAATGACTAAAACATTGATAAAATCAAGCTTAAAGCTTGATCTATAATGTGTTATTTGCTTCCTGTTACTTTTTATTTATCTCTTTCTGATTCAAATCCGAAATCTTAAACTAAAAAAAGACAGAAAACAGGAAGCGAAGTACATTGTAGATCAGGCTTGAAGATCACGAATAATATAAGATAATAATATAACAGTGGTCTGAATTGAGGCGTGGTACGCTGAAAGTCGCGCGACTTTCAAAACAACAACTCACGTACGCGCGCGACACATTCGCGGCCATAAGAATTGAGACTCGGTGGCGCGCATATCGCGCAGAGTCGTGCGGGGAGTTGCGCGTTATTTTTCACTTTGTAAATTCAGTAAAACGTATACAGGATTAATCGCTGCACATCGCGAGTGCGTTTATAGTGCTGGGGCAATCGTCAAGAGTGAGAGCATCTTGAAATTACTCGGTGAATATCATACTTTCTTTTCCTTTCGAAATTCATATTCGCGACACCTAACTTAACCTAACCCGCTCCTAATTCCCGCGTATCGAATATCTTCTCTCTCCCAATCCTTTAGATCGAGAATAATCTTTATATTGTTACACAACTAAATAGGAAGATTATTTTCTGATAAGTGATTTATAACATATACATACGCACACAGTAAGTGACGCGCGGTAAGTCACCGAAAGTCGCGCGACCTTCAAAACAATGACACACGTACGCACATAATACACTTGCGGCCACAGCAGTTTTTCACTCGGTATTGAGCACCTCAGGTACCGACGCATTCTTTCTTATTTCTATTCTACAAATTCATTAAGATGTTTGATTGTAGTAATTCATTTATAACATTGATTGAGGCAATCGTTAGTAGTGGGAGTGGCAGCATCTTGTAAACGGTAATTACCTCATACATACACACGTACACATAATGCACACGTCAGTTTTCTTTGATCTAAATAATTGAAAATATTCGATGAAAGTCTACACTCGCGATATTTAAGCTAATTCTCATTTGCACATCCAATATCTTCTGATCCTTGATTTTTTAAATCGAAAATAATTTCTATATTATAGCTGCAACTAATTAGGAAAATTATTTTCTATTTCAGATCTGGAGCTGACTACCACTTTATGAGGGCTGCTATAATTTCGACATGTATGAATACAACATTGGAATATCTACTTGGATAATAGAAATCTGTTCGCAGGTGAGACTGATTGTATTATTACATTTAATTTGAGATTATCTTAATCATTTGCGATTAATTAAAAGAATAATCGAATTTTGTATTTGCTATATCTAATAAAATAACCTCTATACTAAATACTTTATTCTTGATTCTTCAAAATCGAAAATAATATTTTTTAATTTTATTAGAAATATTTTTTGATTTTCTGTTTCAGATTTAGCAGAGTTTATGACCACATTACAAAGGCAGCTATATTTTCAATGGACGTAGAGGCTGTTAGAGATGCAGATGCAGTACCGGAGGATCTGGTTCAGGCCTAGTAAGGTTGGCTCGAAGGTAAGCTCTTACCATGATTCCTTATACTTTCTCATTTAATTCTTTGTGATTACCAGATATATATAGTCGTCTATTAAAAATTATGTAACAAAAATTATTGAACTATAATCGCAAAGAGTTAACTCATTCTCTATATGTGCACTTGTTCGTTATATCAAAATTGCAAATCTAATTTGCCAAACTATTTTTTTGTTACAGACTTAGAGGCAGAAGTGGCCAACTGTGGTTAGCTAAAAATGAGTATTCAAAGGTAGATTTATTATGGTAGTGGGTATTTATAGAACTCGTGAGAATCAATGCTATCTACTTTGCTTATAGATTTCTGCATGTATATGTATGTGTTGTTCCATAAAATATATTCATAACAATTAGAGGATCAAATTGCTGCATTATGTAGTGTAGAATCTTGAAAGTATCTAATAATTTATTCTTAAATTTAACTTCAATTTTTAAGTAGCATATTTATTTAAAGACATTTTTTTAAATTATTTATTTATTTTAAAATAATATTGTTTATTTAGTCGTATACTTTTGTGACTTAAGTTATATATCTATAAATTGGAATTATTTATTTGATGTGATCCTCTGATTGTTTCGAGCGACATACAATGCGCATTAAAACTGCGCCATTGCGAGTTAATGAAACTCGCTACTGCGAGTTAATGAAACTCGCCATTATATTGGCCGCGTTGATTTATATTTCGTGACTTTCGCGATTAGTTTCCACTTAAATTTTCCATACGTATATTCGAGTCATTTAGCAATTGAACGAATAGAAATCTCTTTAAATTAAGTTGGTCAAAATAACGCGGTGATAAAGTTCGGCAAGCGATATATCGTGGAGTAATTACTTTCCATTATTTTGTTCGCTTAGCAGCATTGGCCAATTTCGTTCCTAGGTTTACAATTTTTTATACGCGATTTTTTATAATTCCCGAGTGTATTTCTGAAATGGCCAGACTTATTCTACCGCGAATCTGTTTCTGAAGCGTTATAGTTGTGCGATAAACAGTCATTAAATAAATTCGTAAATTTCGATTTCACTTCACGTTAACCAAATTCGTTAAATCCGTATCGAGATAAATTTAAACGTTTTTCCGATGTCTTTAAAATATTCGTCAAACGCCGTTATAATTTGAACATAATTGCGTCGCGAGTGATAAAGTGCAATCAACGTGGGACGACGACGCAAAGCGACGCAGGACGGTGGCTGGACCCTATGGACTTCCTGATGCAGTTGTCGGGATGCAGCTGCGGGTTTCGTCGATAGACATCGCTGGACCTCATCGCGTAATGGTGAGTGTAAAATTTTACGCTCACGAAGCGTTATATGTAGTTGCGTATGTAGACGTAGATAGCATTGATTTCCGACGAGAAAAGTAGGAGCAGTTATAAACTGCTGTTTGGAGTTTAATTAGAATCGAAGATCTTAATAGAAACAAATGTCTGTCTTTTGTTACTTATTTATTTCTCCAAAAAAATCATCTTTTCTTTCTTGAAAATTAAATTCAGGTTTAATTTGAAGTGAATTGATCAACTGCTTAAATTTATACAGAATTTCGGCATCAAATAATTCACGTGTAACAATTCAGTTATAACAGTATGTGCAGTACTTACACATAAGAAAAGACAGACATTAGCAGGATTGTAAAAATCAATATCAAAATTTAGTTGAATTAATAACAACGCGAAAATCGATAACAAATTTATACGCGTGCTCTTTTGTGTATAATTAAGGAAATTTACACGATATTATTGGCTGATTTTGATCGCTCATAACTTAGAAAAGTATTTCGACTTCAATATTTTTATTTTAGAATTTTCGATTCTATTATACTCCACAATACTTTATTAAAATATTATTACCAAAACTTATCTTTTCTATATCCGAGTCGGAATGTTGAAACTATTATAATTAATTTTCGCAAGTGTTGATCTATGTCCCTGATATATGTGTTTTTGACTGCAACACTTCTTGAATTTACCAACGCTTTCTTTTAACTTTTGTGTAGCCTTGTTATTGCATCAAATT